GAACCACCAAAAAAGAAAATCAACCTTCTGCTGGTAGCATCTGACTCAGATGATGAAAATGAACATGTTGGTCTGTTCTGCTTTGAACCATTATTGAGCAGAACCTGTCATCAGCATGGACGCATGTCCTCTGGAATGGTGGTTGAAGCATGAAGGGACATATGAATCTTTAGTGCATCTGGCACGTAAATATCTTGTTATGCCAGCTACAACAGTACTATGCAAATGTCTGTTCTCACTTTCAGGTGACATTGTAAACAAGAAGCGGGCAGCATTATCTCTTGCAACTGTAAACAAACTTGATTATCTGAGTGACTGGCTGAACAAGTAGTAGGACTGAGTGGTCTTGTAGGCTGTAAAGTTTTACATTGTTTTATTTTTGAATGCAGTTATTTGTTGTACGATTCCCCATTTGTAAATTCAACTTTCATGATAAAGAGATTGCACTACAGTACTTGTATGAGGTGAACTGAAAAATACTATATATTTTTTGTTTTTTACAGCACAAATATTTGTAATAAAAAATAAAGTGAACACTGTACATTTTGTGTTCTGTGTTGTAATTGAAATCAATATATTTGAAAATGGAGAAACCATCCAAAAATGGTATTTTGTTATTGTTTACCAGTATGATTAATCGCACAATTAATTGCAATTATTTTTTTTAATTGCACGATTAATCATGATTAATTTTTTTAATCGCTTGACAGCCCTACTAAATATTAAACTGTAACTGTCTCCCCACTTTGGCCTACTAATTCTGCACTCCCACGTGACAAGAGAGCTGTGTGAACTCACTAACTCAAGAGCAGCGCTTCCAGGATCAACACTTGTGCTTTCCAAGTCTCCTTTAATCCAGGCTCTACAATAAATTAATGTTGCCAGGATTTCAGTTTCCAGCCCCATCTTCCCTGCCAATTCACCCTGTCTTGTTTGTGTTAAACATTTGTTCCCAAGATACTGTGTTTTGGGTTTTTATTTTGTTTAAAATTTCCCAGGAATTTATCGGTGTTTATTATAAAATAATAAAAATCAGATGAAAATTGGTGCAAAAACTTAACATTCATTTTCTGGGTAAATATTGAGGCTAATACTGGGGCATGAGAGGATAAAAAAAAAGCAACAAATAGAGAAAAGTGAGGGTGTTTCTGACCCCACTCCCCACCCTAGAAGTAGAAATGGCAACTCAGTAAACTGGGTAGGTTTCCGAGCCACCATCTCTCCTTCCAGAGCAGGTCCAGAAGTGGAAGAGATTGAGGAGGTGAGGGTGCCATGCCTTCATGCTGCCTTCTCCACCTCTTCCATTTCTGGGCCCATTCTGGAAGGAGAGACAGGAGCTCAGTTACCTGGGCTGCCCAAGTTACAAAGCCACCCTCTCTCCTTCCTGAGCAAGGAGCCAGGTCCAGGGAGTTCTGCCACTTCATTTTTTAGGAGTTGAGCACTGATGTACACATGTGTGAGTGTGTGTCTTCCACTGCATTGCCTTGCTTTGACAGACAGCCTCGCATTTACACTTAGACTAATTCATTACTAACATGAACACATGCACCTAATGGAATATGGATTGGATTTTCTTAACATAATCGGTATATTCATGTACCTGAGTGGTCCAAAATTTGTGTGAAAATGGGTGAAAAACAAAAAAGAACTTTTGCAAATTTTTTGTTAAAAACTGAAAACAAAGGGCCTTGCCGATGTGTTCTAATCCCTATAAATATCAGGTAAACAGAGACAAAGATATCGCAGGGAGATTTCCCTTGTGTCTGCCCTGAATCCCACAGAGAGAAAACATTCAACCACTCAGTTCAGTACTGTACACAACTAATGTTTTCTGCTAGTGCAGATGGGAATTTTCTAGGTTATCCAGTCCCAGTGCCAAATAGCCTCCATTTCAAAGAGGCCAACGCCTTCGGAAGCCTGATGAGTACATATTGTACTCATTACATTGGATCAGGACTCTGAGATTGCCTTAGAACAAGATAGGCTGAAATTGTTAACTCTACTTTCCACCTGCTCCTATATGCACATTGTCTTCTGATTCTACTTCTGAGCATACTGGGGTGATTGATGCTGGCTCGACCCTCGATTCAGTTTGAGATCAGGATTTCAGTGACTAGGGATAGCAATCATTATAGTTATGTCTAAAATGTGGGACCTATGCCTCCATTGTCATTCACATCAATATAAAGTGAATGCAAAGTGTGTGTAAAATATTCCCATTTTGATTTCACTGCAGAAAGTGAAGAGCAACAGTGAATTAGGCTTGTGCCTTCTATGTGAAACTCCTTTCCCTTTGTTTTCAGTTGCTCGTGACTTTCTCAAATTTCTTTTTAGGCTGAAATTTTCCCTGTTTATTTTCAGCCCAAAGTTCAATTTTCTTGAAAAATGTCAACAGTAGTGAATGAATATTTTGATTTATTTGCATAGGAATAAAATACACATAGTCTTATCAGAAATGTTGTGCTTGAGTAAATCAAAAACACCTGAAGTTAGAAAAATCAAACTAGGCTCATTTTGTAGATTTAATGGACTCTGATGCAGCAAGACAAATTTGCTTTAAAAAAATAATTTAAAATGTTCAATATATAATTTCTGCACATTCTACTAGCACTTTTCTATTTTTTTGTTTTTTAATGTGCAATATTTTGAGGATGCATTTCTTATTGAACACCCAGCTAATGATGTCTTATTCCACACGTAAAGGCAAAAGAGCTTTTAAAGTCCTCCAGCCAAATAGCTCCATATCTGGGAACATACAAGGTCATTAAAGTACACCTGAGTTAATGACAGTTCCATTAGAACTGTGAGAACCAGGATGTTGAAAATACTGACAGTTCCACAGGAGAGAAATCTGCCAGGCTGGGAAGTCTTTAACATAAGCCCACAATCAAAGAGTTTACAAGCTTCGCTTAAGAAATGATTCTGTTTGTAAGCTCCCCAAGTAAAAAGCAGGGAAATATAAATGTAATTGTTTATAGTTGAAATACCACAGAAATGTCAGAAAAAATCCCACAATATTAATTCAGCACATTGTACCTCTGCTGTGTTTTCTCTTTCTAATCCTTCTTAAATGTTAATTGTAATTGGTATCATTTGTTATTTTATATATATACATAGAGAGAGAGAATGGAATACCTTATTGAGTTTAGGTGGGAGTAACATTAACTTTCAGATTTCCTGACTTTTTTAAGGGCTTGCCATTTCTGCGTTAATGCCCCATTAACACTAGTGGTTTTTTGCATGTAATTATAAACGAATTTGTTCATTTTGCATATGGTCATTTGAAAGCAGACCTGTCTGATCTTGCAAATAGACTGACCATCCTGATAACCAGACAGATCCCCTGACCTTATGGAAGACCTGCAGGCTGGCAGCTAGAGAAACTGATGCTTCAGGCAGACAGGCATACTGACTGAAAGGAGTGAGCCATCCTGGTACCAGGCTGGTACCAATAAAGGTATTGCTGCAAAGCAGAGCAGCAGTGAACATATTGTTGGTACTTCCTGTCCTGAGGATGTGTACACAGTTCCTGCCCCTTCTTCAAAATGTGCACACTTTTTCAGAGTGCATATTCTCTCTCTCCTTCAGAACACATTCCCCTCTCTCTTTTAGGTCTCAGAACACACACACACACACACACACACACATACACACACACACACACACCTTCAGAACTTGCACTCTATTTCTCCCTGTCTTTGGGACTTGCACATTCTTTCTTTTCTTCCTCCTTTCATTCTGCACACTAACACCCTCTCCCCTCCAATGCAATCCAGTAGCACTCATATAGCCTTAAGGTCTAAGCCAGTCCAACAAAGGACACAGGTGTTGAGACAGATTTTCTCTCCTCTTCCTGCATCTTCTTGCAGGTTCATTCATTCCCTTCTACTGACCAGGCTTTTTAGAAGGTTGGCTATGTCTCCTCATGAAGAAGGTACAACTTCTTTCTGGTAAGGAGGGCAGAGAATTGTAAATAAACTTTACCTGGACTCCAGAGGACAATCCTGTGATGAGGTTTCAAATTCTCTCTCTCTCTTTTTCTTCTCTCCTCACCGCCCACTTTGGATTTCAGCTTGTAGTGTGTGACGTGTCCCTCTTCATATCTCTGCTTTACACATTTCTCCAAGCTTTCTTTGGAACCTCTTCTAGCTGCTCTTTCTTGCCCTCCCCTCCCGCCCATTCAAGCTGAACATCTCCTCAGACACATGGGAGCCTTACGGAAGTGAAAACATCCATCAGTGGCAGTGGAGTTCCTTTTTAAAGTGGACCCTCTCTTGAGGGGCCTCCTCTCCTCCGTGCCCCTGGTTCCCCATTGCACAGCACACAACTCTTTGGCATCCAGCATGGTTGTGCAACCGCTCTTACCATCCATAGTTTCCACTATGCCGTGTTCCTTTCTGGCAGCTTGAGCCCCCTGGAGCCATCCAGCCTGGGATTTGTTCCTCGAGTTGTTTCTGCCTTTGAACAAACATGCCAATTAATTCTCTGCCGATTAGTTCATTCCTGAGCCATTGTGCCAGATCTATTTTGGTCAGAGTAAACAAGGAGGATATATTGTCGGCAGTGTTTTTCTCAGCTCCCAAGTTACTTGGCTGCCAAGCCAAACAGAGTCAGGCTTGGACAGTACTTGACTTAGAGACCTCCAAAGAAACATCAGGTGTCACAATAAGTGATGCTGGTGACTTGGTAGAGGGTGATCTTGTCCCTTCCTGTGAGTAAGTATTGAACAAGTATCGTCTTAGGATGTGCTGCACTACTACAGGTACTATCCTTTGGATAAAACTTTAACGCCATGTTCTGGCTTTCTGTGATCATTACCATATCCATGGCATGAGTTGCTAGTCCCCTGGCCAAATTTGAATTCTGCCTAATATTACTCCTATAGTGTCAATTGGCTGCAGTGCTAATTTCACTTCCTGTTCTAAACCGTTTGATGATTTTGCTGTGTGCTCTTAGATAACTGCACGTTCCACCCCTGCTGCCGCTGCATTTCAGGTCTGGTCTACATTAAGAGTTTAGTTTGAATTTAGCAGCATTAAATCGAATTAACCCTGCACCCATCCACACAACGAAGCCATTTACTTCGACATAAAGGGCTCTTAAAATCGATTTCTGTATTCCTCCCCTGACGAGGGGAGTAGCGCCGAAATCGACATTGCCATTTCGAATTAGGGTTAGTGTGGCCGCAATTCGACGGTATTGGCCTCCGGGAGCTATCCCACAGTGCACCATAGTGACCACTCTGGACAGCAATCTGAACTCGGATGCACTGGCCAGGTAGACAGGAAAAGCCCCGCGAAATTTTGAATTTCATTTCCTGTTTGCCCAGCGTGGAGAGCACAGGTGACCACGCAGAGCTCATCAGCACAGGTAACCATGCAGTCCGATAATCGAAAAAGAGCACCAGCATGGACCATACGGGAGGTACTGGATCTGATCATTATATGGGGAGAGGATTCCGTGCTAGCAGAACTACGTTCCAAAAGACGAAATGCCAAAATATTTGAAAAAATCTCCAAGGGCATGATGAACAGAGGCCACAATAGGGACTCACTACAGTGCCACGTGAAAGTTAAGGAACTCAGACAAGCCTACCAGAAAACCAAAGAAGCAAACGGAAGGTCTGGGTCAGAGCCGCGGACATGCTGCTTCTACGCTGAGCTGCATGCAGTTCTAGGGGGGGCCGCCACCACTCCCCCACACCTGACCGTGGATTCCGAGGAGGGGGTAATCTCAGCCATGCCTGAGGATTCTGCGAACGGGGAAGATGATGATGAGGAGGACGACGAGCTTGCGGAGAGCACACAACACTCTGTTCTCCCCAACAGCCAGGATCTTTTTCTCAGCCTGACTGAAGTACCCTCCCAACTCTCCCAAGGCATTATCCCAGACCATGAAGCCATGGAAGGGACCTCTGGTGAGTGTACCTTTGTAAATATAAAACATGGTTTAAAAGCAAGCTTTTTTTAATGATTAATTTGCCCTAAGGACTTGGGATGCATTCACAGCCAGTACAGCTACTGGAAAAGTCTGTTAACGTGTCTGGGGATGGAGCAGAAATCCTCCAGGGACATCTCCATGAAGCTCTCCTGGAGGTACTCCAAAAGCCTTTCCACAAGGTTTCTGGGCAGTGCAGCCTTATTCCATCCTCCATGGTAGGACACTTGACCATGCCATGCTAGTAGCAAGTAATCTGGTATCATTGCATGACAAAGCCTGGCAGCGTGTGGTCCCGGTGTTTGCTGGCATTCAAACAACATCCGTTCTTTATCTCGCTCTGTTATCCTCAGGAGAGTGATATCATTCATGGTAACCTGGTTGAAATACGGGAATTTAATTAAAGGGACAGAGGTGGCCATTCCTACTGGGCTGTTTGCCTGTGGCTGAAAAGAAATCCTTCCCTGCAGTTAGCCACGCCGGGGGTGGGGGTGGGGATCATTGGCGCTGAGCTTTTCACGTTTGGCTAGCAGGGATCTTCCCTGATGCCAGCCACGTGGTGGGGGGAGGAGTAAAGCGATCATCCCAGAGAATTGGAGGGGTGGGGGGTTAGTTTGGTTTCTGCAGGGATCTTCCCTGATACCAGCCACGTGGTGGGGGAGGGATAAAGCGATCATCCCAAAGAATTAGATGGGGGGGGTTAGTTTGGTTTCTGCTGCTGCACGTTAACAGGAAAACCGCAGCACTCAACGGGCTTTGCTTGGTATGTGGGAAAGGAGGGCGCTGCTTTTATGAAGGCTGCAGAAGCCGAAAGACAATGGCTTACCATGGCCTCATGCAAGCCGAATTCTGTTGCCCGGACCTGTGTTTGTGGTGTCTAACACCAAAGCCGCAGACACTCAATATTAAGATGCAACCTTGTACCAAAATCACATGTGCTGTGTAATGTGAATAGTGTTGTTCACCGTGAAAGAGTATATGCATTGTTCTTTAAAATGTATCTTTTTAAATACTTCTCTCCCATTTTTCCCTCTTCCCGCAGCTGCACATTTTTCAAGCCTCCCTCCTCCGTCCCGAAGGCTATCTCAGATAAGGCGGCGAAAAAAACGGACACGAGACTACATGTTCTCGGAAATCATGCAATCAACCCGCGATGAAAGAGCTCATCTGAATGAGTGGAAGGACACAGTATCAAAGTACAGGAAAGATGCCAGTGAACGTGAGGACATGAGGGACCAACGTGAGGACAGAAGGGACCAACATGAGGAGAGGAGAGATGCTCGAGATGAGAGGCGGCAGGATGCAACGCTGCTGATCCTGCTGCGTGAGCAAATGGACATGCTCCAGTGTCTGGTGGAGCTTCAGGAACGGAAGCAGGATCACAGAGTGCTGCTGCAGCCCCTGTATAACCACCCTCCCCTCTCATCTCTTCCATAGCCTCCTCACCCAGACGTGTAAGAACGTGGGAGGGGGGGAGGCTCCGTGCACCCTCCCACTCCACCCCAGTGGACAGCTCAAGCAAAAGGCTGTCATTATTTTGAACTTTTTAAGTGGCCTTTTCCTTCCCTCCTATCCTCCTCCCAAACCCTACCTGGGCTACCTTGTCAGTTCTCTCCCTCTTTTTATAATCAATTAATAAAGAATACATGATTTTTAAACAATAGTGACTTTATTTCCTTTGAAAGCAAGCTGTGATCGAAGGGGGAGGGTGGGTTGCTTACAGGGAATGAGTCAATCAAAGGGGGTGGGTTTTCATCAAGGAGAAACAAACAGAACTTTCACACCATAGCCTGGCCATTAATGAAACTGGTTTTCAAAACTTCTCTGATGCGCAGTGCTTCCTGGTGTGCTCTTCTAATCGCCCTGGTGTCTGGCTGCACGTAATCAGCGGCCAGGTGATTTGCCTCAGCCTCCCACCCTGCCATAAAAGTCTCCCCCTTACTCTCACAGAGATTGTGGAGCACACAGCAAGCAGCAATAACAATGGGAATATTGGTTTGGCTGAGGTCTGAGCGAGTCAATAAAGTGCGCCAGCGACCCTTTAAACATCCAAATGCACATTCTACCACCATTCTGCACTTGCTCAGCCTGTAGTTGAACAGCTCCTGACTACTGTCCAGGCTGCCTGTGTATGGCTTCATGAGCCATGGCATTAAGGGGTAGGCTGGGTCCCCAAGGATAACTATAGGCATTTCAACATCCCCAATGGTTATTTTCTGGTCTGGGAAGTAAATCCCTTGCTGCAGCCGTTTAAACAGATTAGTGTTCCTGAAGACGCGAGCGTCATGAACCCTTCCCGGCCATCCCACGTTGATGTTGGTGAAACATCCCTTGTGATCCACCAGTGCTTGCAGCACCATTGAAAAGTACCCCTTGAGGTTTATGTACTAGCTGCCCTGGTGCTCCTGTGCCAAGATAGGGATATGGGTTCCATCTATCGCCCCACCACAGTTAGGGAATCCCATTGCAGCAAAGCCATCCACTCTGACCTGCACATTTCCCAGAGTCACTATCTTTGGTAGCAGCAGCTCAGTGATTGCTTTGGCTACTTGCATCACAGCAGCCCCCACAGTAGATTTGCCCACTCCAAATTGATTCCTGACTGACCGGTAGCTGTCTGGCATTGCAAGCTTCCACAGGGCTATCGCCACTTGCTTCTCAACTGTGAGGGCTGCTCTCATCTTGGTATTCTGGCGCTTCAGGACAGGGGAAAGCAAGTCACAAAGTTCCTTGAAAGTGCCCTTACACATGCGAAAGTTTTGCAGCCACTGGCACTCGTACCACACCTGCAACACTATGCTACCCACAGTGCAACGCTACCCACAGTGCACTAGCTACCCATAGTGCAGCGCTCCGGAAGTCAACGCTAGCCTCGGTACATGGACACACACCGCCGAATTAATGTGCTTAGTGTGGCCACATGCATTCAACTTTATACAATCGGTTGCCCAAATCGAATTCTGTAAATTCGGAGTAATCCCGTGGTGTAGACATACCCACAGTGGTAGGTACAATGATCCCTTTGCATAGAGTGAAGCACTTTACAATTGCTCAAGATCAGAAACACTGTATGAATGTACATGTATGTGTGTGTGCGCGCACGCACGCAGTATGTAGAGTCAGATCCTCAGCTGGTGTAAATCAGCAGAGCTCCTAGACTGACTTGAATGTAGTTATGTTGATTTACACCAGCTGAGGATCTAACCCATGGTTTGTAAATCAGTAAAGTGCTTTGGTTTCTTCTGGGTGAAGATACTATAAATGTCAGTCATTATTATTACCATTGTTTAGTCAGCAATTCAAACGTGCTAATCTCCAATGGAGAGGTGCCCCGACAGAGAGAGGATTGTGATTAGAGGACTGGCTCTTCAGAGCTAGAAAGTACCAGAGACACGTGCTTCCGACATTTCCCTCACTCCGTCTCTAAAAAAAAGTGCCTGCATGGGGAGTGAGGTTTCTATGTAAATGTTATTGTCCATAGCACTGAAACAGTGGGACACTTACAAAGTTATACAACACCAATTACATAAAGCAACCCACAATAGGAAATATTAAAACTACTCATACGGCCTCCAGAAATGTTACCAACCCGTGTTGTCAGGGATAAAAACAAACAAAAACATGGATTTCTCACAGCTGTTCCCATTTGAGAAGGGACTAGCACAGTCCAGATGTGCTGACACAACAGTTCAATGGAAAGAAGAAGAAACAAACTCCTGGAAGGACTCACCACTTGAAAGCTCAGGGCACGGGCACTTGATGGTGCAGTAGACTGGGAAAGGGTCCCTGCAAAGCTCTGATGATCTACCCAAATCCTGATCACTATTTTTCATAGTAAATAGTGTCTTTTGGGCCCAGTCGGGCTCCCAGCAGAGTCAATGGCAAAACTTCCATTGACTTCAGTGTGCAGGACTTCAGCCTCTAAATTACCAGTTCAAATGCAGCCTGTTTTATTAGTGAATCAAAGTTATCTGTTGGCCCTTCTGGCCTTGTGCAGTTAGTTGTTAGTCTCTTGGCTAGTCTACACCAGTGGCTCTTAGTCTTTCCACACTACTGTTCCCTTTCAGGAGTCTGATTTGTATTGTGTATCCCCAAGTTTCATCTCACTTAAAAACTACTTGCTTACAAAATCAGACATA